TCCACCATCTTATCTGATGGACTCTGTATTAATGATTTAAGTAACTAATTAATGTTCTGTATAGTTAGTTACTCCTCAGTCTTGACTGCCTATGTTCTATCACTCTTAACTGAGGAGTGTCATGGTGGTCCCTATGCCAGCACGCTCTTCAGTGAAAACGAGGTGGGGTAGTGTTAGAAGGAGTCACTGTGTTAGAAATGCAAGTGTTTACTTCTACAAGTGACTCTGAAGACAAGAGACAAAGGGAGTATTCCAGGCTACAGGAAAATCAATATTAATACAGATAAGTATTGTGTGTGAACATTACTTTAAACTGATAAGAGGAATCCTGTAAAGGAGGCTTTTGTGAGACAAACACAAAAAAATTCTTTTGCAATGAAGTCTTCTCTCCCATCTTCTAATTCCGTTTCTTGGCTGTGAGGCCCAAGCTCTCAGTCTTCCCTCCTCCCTGTGCTGTGGGATAAGGCTCTCTCACAACTGGCCTCCCAGCAAGGTATTCTCCAGGGTCTGCTCCTGGGCCTTTGTCTTTCCAACTAGACAGCTTCCAGCTCCTCTGCCTTCTCCAATTTCTTCCATGTCTCTGACTCCAAGTGCCTTTCTCAGCCTGACTCTGTCTGCAGGTACTCCTGATGGCAGGAATGCTTGGTACAGCAGGAAGTCATGGGTAGGAATCTCAGCTAACAATTGGATCTTTCTGTCCAAGGAAATAGCCCAAAGACTTAAACTATTGCATTTTCACAATGACTTTATAAGGAAAATACTATTATTATTATTATGCCCATTTTATACAGGCACTTTGAGGGCAGAGCAGAGAAGCATCCCAGATGGAATCAACATTTGCTAAGAACTCTTTTCAGCATAAACTGGACAGGCATCCTCTGTTCCCCTGGAGGGTGAGAGTTTGCACAGCAGGGCTGCACCAAAATCAAAATTGGGAAGGAGAACATTCCAATTTTCACTCATTCATTTACCTGAAGAAAATTGTCATATTTACTCCATGGTTTGGCACTGGCCCTCTCACTGGATTCACATTTTAGATGACACCATGTTTTTCATTGAAAGCTCCAACATGGTGGTTGATGATGACACCTCTGCTTATTTGGGCATCTCGCATAGGGCTCATGATGGCTGCTGATTTGTTTAATTGAGTAGTCAAACAATGAAGAAAGAACATGTGAAAATGTTCTTAACACAGATTTACCTAATGATAAGGTATTTATAAGCAGTATTATTTTATAATATTTAATAATATCCAATAATGGAAAAAATATTAATATCTTAAATGTAGCTTGAAACAAAACATGTTGTGTAAATTTGATAGAGCCACATTCAGTAGTAAAGATGTGCCCTTGTATTTATTTCTCTATTATGTTGAGTAAAAAAAAAAAAATAATAAGACAGATTTTTACTATAAAATATGTTTACAATAATTTGGATTCATTAAGCTTTTTTGAAAAATTGTTTTTGAGAGTGTACATGAACAAATTCAATATCTTGAGAAGATATTAATCAAACATGATGAAAAGATGCTATTACATATATGTTAAGCTACGTCAATAAATGTCCTACCCAAACTTTTCTTCTTTCATAGAGAACATTTATAGGACCATTAGTCTACCAGGTATACCAGTCTTGCTTTATTTTTCTCCAGTTATTTCACTAATCACATTTTCAAAATAAAATGCTATGTCTTCTCACTTGCAACATCACTGACATCTCATGCATATATTTTGATTTGAAGATTTATATTTAACCTATAAACTTAAAAACAACAGTATGCAATGCTATATTTGGTACAGCACCAAAAAATGTATTAGTTATGATGACAGTTCTTAAGAGATTTCAGTTTATGGAAGATAAAAGCTTCACAAATGTAACTGTAAAGAAAAATTTACATTTATAAACATTCTCAAAGTAATCCTGACTTTAAAAAGAGAATTAGACGTTACCGTCTCCTATATAAAAAGTTTCTGCACATTCTTTGTTGAAGTACAGAAAAGGGGCAGTTAATAGTGAAAAGACCAAAGTTTTGCAACAAAAATCTATTTGACTGAGGCAAGCAAGCTAGAAAACCCCAACCCTTTAGAACCAAATCTTTCATATCCCGAGGCTTAGAGGAATTAAGAGTTAGTAGGAGGTCTCTGGTTTCAAATCTAATGACCAAATTGAGGCATCTTAATTTTAATTTCTTATTTTAAAACACACACTCTGAAAAACTCTCATTGAATAATACTAAAACTCTTTAATAGTGAAAAGACACTTGTCTGCCATAAGAGAAATAAGACAGATATTAGAAAAGAAAGAAGTAAAACAAAGACCATATATCCAATAAGCAATTATCAGAGAGTAGATCTACTCAGACCATTTGCATCCTTTCCTTTATTCCTCCCAGCTTCTACATACAGTTACCTGGTACTATTATACCATCCTCCAAAATAATCATAAAAGATGTGAGTATATTCTTTCCTTTTCCTTATTATTTTTATAAGGAAATAAAAACGTTCATGCCAATATGACGCACAGTACCCATAAGAATGAATTTTAGCTGCATACCCATGTCAGCAATGTGATCTTCGTAAGTAATTTAGACTCCAGTTCTCCCTTTACTTGAGGCATATGGAGATACTAGTTTTCCCCCAAAAAGGAGAATTACATCAAAGATGTATGTAAAACTGCTTTGAAATTGTGCTATGGAGACATGTTTGTAACAGCACAGAGGCTTAAATGGTCTGGTATTTAATGATAAATAAAACTTAAACACTCTTTAAAAACATATGTAGGAGAGCTGAAAGAAATCTGAAGACGAAAAAAGCTTAAATCATAAGCAATAATGCCCAAATAAATAATTGTGAACCCTAGAAGTTAAATATACTAGTTCTAGTAATAGTCACTTGGGGAAAATAAAAATTCATTACTTAAAGGATAATGTAAAAAGTTGTCATAAAAATATCATTAGGTTTTAGACTTGAATTTTGGATTTGGGATGTATCTCAATTAAATTTAAACACTTAACTGTAGTCCTTTATTTTAAGAAAACTCTACAAGCAAGGCCTTATTATATTTTATCCCCCAACTGTTTTTGCATGATGCCAGGGTATTGGTTCCTTTTGTGAATAATCACAATAAGCCAGTTCTGGTTCTGGATCTGGTTTTGTCTGTTTCACCTGTGCAGCTGGACTTAGAATGGTGGTATGATTTTCTTTTTCAAAGTGAACACATTAAGGCTAATGACTAGCATTCTTGAAAATAACATACTGAATCTGCAATTCATATAATGCTAATCTGCATATAAATTTTACTCATACAATAGAATAGTGGCCAACATTCTCTTATTCATTCTAACATTTCTTATTGGTATTTCTCTTTTTTGGTTTATACAGTGCCCCCCAATAACTATAAGTGACATAATCCATAACTTGAAAAGCTAAGAGCCATGACAATATACTGAAAGAGGAAAAATAGCTATACAAGGGGCTAATATAAAATGGAAAGGATATGCCACTTTGTAAAATAAAATGCATTTAGCTTGCAGCAAAAAATAAAGAAGCTTATCTGTAGCTAGAGAAACATAAATTTGGTTTCTTATTAAGCCAAATTCCCTTAATATGAACATTTAAAATCTTCCCATTGGAGATAAAACACTTATCCTCAATTTAAATATGTAATGTTAAATAAAGCAATGCCAATTCAATATTCTACTTAGCATTTCTTAGCAGTTTGCTGTTATTCTATATGTTTTCAGTTGCATGTAAAGAAAATTTATTTTAAAATAGTGCACTGAGTTGTTATCTGAAGAGTATTCTATCCCTTCATAACCAGAACATATAAGGATTGGGAACAGATTCCAAGACTAATACTGTAGAGATTGCTGTTGAGGTTGAAAACCTGAATATGCAAGATGCTGCGCAATGAAAATGTAAGCATATTTTTTTAGTTCTAGTAGTTAACAGTGAAGTGAACATTTATTCCAGCTCACTTTTACCATGGAGGTGCTATCAAATATAATATTTAGCATGAACTCTCCAGCGGGGTGCAATTGTGCTGAAGTAGCTATCTAAAAGAATATCATAAAATAGTCCCATTCTACCTTTATGTTTGTAAAAGTGATTTCTTTTTACAAATACTCTATACAAACCCTTAGACAGAGTACATAAGCACCTGTGTGTTCCATCAGGGAAAATTCCTGGAGACAAATTTCAAGTATGCCACCAGAGTCAAGTCACATGCCCTGCTCTATAGAAATACCAGAAATCTGACATGTCGATGGTATTCACAGATGCAGATATATATTTATGGGACTCTATCAGCATACATCAAATGGCTATGAATAAAACATCATTTAATTCTGCAGGAATTCAATTCCAACTTCAGAAGTAGAGCATTGCTACATCCCTTGCCAACGTTAAAAAAAGAAAGCCAAAAAGAAACATATCTCAACCTAACAATTTCTTTAATACATTTTTTTTATCAATGCCAGACAACTTTAACATCGTGTTTACTTTCAGATACAGAAAAATAAAGATTATATTGATTTTCTAAGTTTTTCAATTTTTAGTATAGCCTGGAATATGGACCACTTCACTCGCTGAGAGAGACTTGCATAGTGACAAAGCATGAGTCCATTGATACAGTAAAACCTAGTCAGTGATATCTGAGGTCAACTGAGATCATTCACAATTCTCAGCTTCCTTAGCATTAAAGAGATAGTTGTTCTAGATCTTATCAAATAGCTGAAACCTCAAGCAACTACCGATGTCCTAATCCAAAGATCATCTGTACTGTTTGCTATTGAACCGCAGTGATACTTGAGATCCATGACCAATACCCACATTCCAAATCAGACAAAAGATTATAAAACCTAACCAAAGTCAACCCTTTCATACTCGGCTCATGACATGAATGCAATAACGTGATGTAAGAAAAAATAACACCATACATACAATGGCTGGTTAGAGAGCCTCTTGGACATAAGTAGGGCAAAGAAAAAGGTTCGTACCCACCTGGGATCTTTCTGAATGCTATCAATGGACGGGGATCTGGCCAAGGTGCCTTCAGGCGGGAGGGTAGGGCCGGATTTGCTGTATGGAGACTCAACAGAGGGACAATACTGCAGCTGTCGGTAGGGGTCGGCGTAGTTGGAGGCTGGGCCGGCGGCGTAGCTGGCCCGCTGGAAGGTGGCCGTGGCGGCATTCGGTGGGCCATGCTGGCTGCCTGTGCGCTGCAAGGGGACGGAGTCGACACCAGGGGAAGATGGGGCTAGGACAGGAAAGTAGGGACAAAGTAAAAAATTGAGGACCTGCTCACAGAAACGGTTAACCAGGTCTAGGCAAGGGTAAAAATTACACACATAAAAAAACAACAACAAGGGTTTGAAAGAATAAAAACATTAATTGTCATATCTGAACCAATATAGTCAATGTCATCCAGTAATGATAATTAGCTTGCGACTTCAGAAATACCCCTTCCAGCCCAAGGGGACAATGCATCTATTGTCTGTATATTGCTGACCAGCATCCAAGAGAAGGTTTGTTAATCTGAGGTCAACTCTGTGTGAAAACAAAACCCAGAAGCTCTAGAGGGAATATTGTATAGGCAATCATGGACAGTTAACTATTGTTTATGTTGAGAAGATTCAGAAAGTGTTTGTTCATGTGATGCTATGCCAAGTTTATTAAGGGTGCAAAACAAACTTAGTAACATAGTTAATTTTCCTGAGTTAAAAAGTAAGGGAAAGTGAGAGGTAATGTGTGCATGGGGTTCAGTGGGGCCCGTGTTTCCCTAATTAGCACTAGGGCAAAAAATGCAGAACTGCTCTAGTGTCTGTGAGGTTGTTCACAAGAGATTTTTATAGACCTCTTTTCAACCAAAGCTGCCACAGTAACAGATAAACATGGTCGGCAAACTCATTAGTCAACAGAACCAAATATCAACAGTACAAAGATTGAAATTTCTTTTGAGAGCCAAATTTTGAAAACTTAAACTTCTTCTAATGCCACTTCTGCAAAACAGAGTCGCCCCGGCCGTGGTATTTTGTGAAAGAGCCACACTCAAGGGGCCAAAGAGCCACATGTAGTTTGTGAGCTGCAGTTTGCCGACCATGGGATTAGAAGGGTAGGCGTACAGGAGAAGGGGAAGACCAGCCCAACTGTAACCCAGACAAAACAATGAGCTTTCTTGGCTTTCTCAGAGCATTTGCATCTTTTCAATGTGTCTAAGATATTTTGAGGAGATTTTGCACCAGTTACCAAAACCAGTATGACTATTTCTAAACTGAATTTCAATGTTTTGTTTCCTTCCTGGATTCTTTTCACTATGTTTTGTGTTGTGATTCCTGAGGTTTTTCTGGGTCTCAAAAATTTGATACCTAAGATTTTAGTTGACCTGTGCAATGAAAGCAGCATCTTTTTAAAAAATATATATTTTATTGATTTTTTACAGAGAGGAAGAGAGCTAGAAACGTGGATGAGAGAGAAACATCAATCAGCTGCCTTTTGCACACCCCCTACTGGGGATGTGCCCATAACCAATGTACATGCCCTTGACTGGAATCGAACCTGGGACCTTTCAGTCTGCAGACCGACGCTCTACTGCTGAGCCAAACCAGTTTCGGCAAAAGCAGCATCTTTAATATTAATAGAATCTGACCCGGGTATATGAATAGCCATGATCAATTTTAGGCTGGGTATTTACTTCCTGGCCTTGTAGATCAGAATATACCTAAAAGGTAGCTAGTGTCTAGTATGTCCATTTCTTCCTTGGATGCTCTCTATATGGCATTAGGTTCCAGTTATAAATCACCCCCCTCCCATAACTTGGATTCCCTGAGCTTCTTAGTGGATGATGATAGAGTTTATTTTATCCTCTCTTACATTAAATGATATATGCCTTGTCAAACACAAAAGAAATTATGTCATATTGAGAAAACAACTGTTAAAAAAAGTTAAGGAAACCATGTGGAAATGACACAGTGAACTGGAGGAACATATTCTAATACTAAAAACTGATTTTTAACTAAGAGATCAGTGCTTATTTCCAATGAGCTTCTAATACTTAATCTTATAATGACCAAAATTATAAGATTTTTCACAGGAAACAGTGAAAACTACAAAAATATTTAAGAAAAACTTTCTAAACAAACGGTATGTACATTCCCAGAAGAGCTATCTTTTGAAACGAGGGTTGTTCTGATGGATTAAGTTTCATAATGATCAGATTAGACTAATAAACATGAAGTTTACAACCAGAAAAATCTGTTTTATGTTTGTTATGTCACCATAAATATGATAGTGGTGAGAATTTAAAAATATAAAATCAGAGTTCAAGTTCATAACTCCAAATTGAAATAAATTAGAAACTTACCAATGCAGTAAAATAATGTAAAATGCCAATACAAAATGTGGAGAAAATACACTATCTTAACAAGAGGTTATAGGACCATATAGGAATAAAACAACATGTGAGAACCTAACAGGTCTCTAACTAGCCATCAGTAATGCCACCATGTACAGCTTCATGCTTTTAAGCATGACATTAATAAAAACGACTACAACACATAAAGAATCAGCTCTCCCTTTCTTTCATGCAGACCTGGTATGGCTTATGCAAACCACAGCTTTCTAGTCGCATGATAAAAGCATGTCGGTCACACTATTAGAAGACTTTCTTTGAATATAGTATTTCCCTTAATTCCTGTCCTGTTACACATTTCCCTTACTTAAATTTTAGAGCTCAGGTGACCAAATCACCTGCCTGGTAGGATAACTCTGTTCAATTGAACCTTCTTGTGGCAAACACTTGAAGTGGAAGGTGCTTCATCAGGTCTGTAAGCACTCCTCCTCTCCCCTGCCCTGCCAACAGCCCTTTCTCCCTCAATGAGCTCTTGGAACTTAATGAACCATCCTACTGGTCTCTCAGAGATTTTAGAATTCGCCTCTTCAGCAGGTTACTTGGTACTTCACCCAACGTTGTTCATGAAATTATCTGCTCTCCATGGAGCTACACAAAGAAAGGTCTAGTGTGTAAAAAGAGAGATGTTTTACACATTATATTTGAAGGAGGTGAGGAGAGATTCTTTTTAATAAAATCAAACATTCTCCTGGTACTTTGATAATGATAGATGGTTACGTGTATTAATTACTGACAAGGGGGGGGGGAGAGAACAGAATAAAATGGGTGGGTCTCTATATACAGAAATATGAAAACATAAAAAAACACATTTACATATGTTACATACATAGCATGCAGTAAGCTAATTAATGAATCCCCTCTGCATGTTCAGAAAATAAAGATGGCTTAAGTGACAGTAGGTCCAAGAACAAGGCCTACATACCCTTTTTTATTGTCTAAAGTTTTACATATGTCCCTTTTTTTCCCAACTGACCTTGTCCTTCCTCTTCCCCCCCACCATTCCCACTCAGGGCAAGTCCCCACTGCCCCAGTGTCTGTGTCCATTTGTTATGCTAATATGCATACATACAAGTCCTTTGGTTGCTCTCTAACCCCACCTCCCCTGTGTCTGGATCTATTCTTGTTCATCAAGTTATATTGATCATTATATCCCACATATGAGTGAGATCATGTGATATTTACCTTTCTCCGACTGTCTTATTTCACTTAGCATAATGCTCTCCAATTCCATCCATGCTGTTGCAAACGGTAAAAGTTCCTTCTTTTTAATAGTGGCATATATTCCATTGTGTAGATGTACCACAGCTTTTTAACCTACTCATCTGCTGATGGGCACTTAGGCTGTTTCCAAATCTTAGCTATAGTGAATTGTGCTGCTCTGAACATAGGGGTGCATATGTCCTTTCTGATTGGTGTTTCTGGTTTCTTGGGATATAGTCCTACTTCAAGAGAGTTTACTTCTGTTACTTTAGGGATGAGGAAACTTTAGCATCCAAGCAATGACATTTCCAATAGGTTATCATTTAGAATTAATCCTAAAGGTCTTTCAATTTTCTGCACTCTGCACAGGCTGATCCATGCCAAATGCAATGGAAAATATGCAAGATAAATTTAAGATAATCTTTTAATGTCAAATATTGTTACATTTGTGGAAAGTGGCATTTAATGCAGAATTTTTAGTAGTGTGGAATCATTATTACTGGAGTTGATGTTTCTGAATTTTTCCACGAACTGTTCTACTAGCAAACACTGTCTTCTTTCAGCTGTAATTAGATTTTTTACTTATATCATTTTATATATAAAATGAGTTGATATAGGTAAGCATCTGGAAGCTCTTCCTAGCTTTAAGACACTATTTATCATTGAGCTTATTAAACATTACCATTTGGGTGATAATGTGCCCCTGTCTTCTTAGATCAAAAAATGGTAAAATTTTAAACTAATAAATTTGACTTGCTCTAATGGGAAGTAAACAATTTTACTGTTTGAAGTAACAGCATTCACAAACAATAAACTGCAAATAACCCATATTTTTCTGGACTCAAGTGGTAATTTTAACTGAGAATGTTATTTATGTATCATTGGAGAATAAACATAAAATTTTATGAATATGAAGGTTCTATGTAATCCTTCTATAACTTTACTAAGCACTGGCTGGTATTGCATAGAATTAAGATTTTTAAAAATATTTTGCCAACATGTGCAAATATTTTTACCACATTCTTTTATTTTAAAAATCATTTTATTGATTTCAGAGAGGAAGGGAGGAGAGAGAAATAAAAAATCAATGATGAGAGAGAATCACCGATCAGCTGCTTCCTGCATGCTCCACACTGGGAGTCCAGCCCACAACCTGGTCATGCGCCCTGACTGGGAATTGACCCCTGACCTCCAGGTTCATGGGTCGGTGCTCCACCATTGAGCCACACTGGTCAGGCTTTCACCATATTCTTTTTTCTTTTTTATGTTGCAATACTTGTCATCCTCATAAGAATATTCGGCATGTTTTCCCCTTGCAATGTGTCTGTGATAATTCATTCTTTATTATAAGCTGACACTTCCATTACCGAAAGCTCGATTTCTCCACTCTCTTAGAATCACATTTATCTACCGGGAAATTCATGTGTCCATCACTGATGCAGACGTTGGCCATTCTCACTAGTTAGAGAGATGTGTTCGCGGGATTGTCAGAGGCAAGAGTTGTATTAATCAAATGACTCCCAAGTTGACAGTCATCGATATGTCTTGAGTTTGAAATACAAATTTTTATTATTTAGTTTCTGCTTAATAGACTTCAGCATAAGCAAACTCATGAGGCTCAAATATTCTTGACTGGCTGTGTCTATTGAGCAAACTCTGGTTTTGAGAAGCCTTTTTCCCAGATGAAAGGTATGTTTTATTTTACAGGTATCCTAGTTAAGAGTGTGCCTCTTTAAATTTTCTTGGTGCAGGATATTAGATCGGTTGTCCTGGAAAAGTAGGTGGGCTTGTTCACACCACAGTCTTCATCACAGGCCTGTTTTTCCTGCTGCTGTACACACTATTCTGCCTCCCTGCCCTGGGAGAAGGCATGAATGGCAGCCTGCCTCTGCTTCTGTCTCTCTCTCCTCATTTACTGTGAGATGGCACCCTTGGGGGAGCCCTCGGGGGAGCCCATGAACCACTGCAGATTCAGTAATTTTTATCTGAATAAGAGGATTTTACCTTCTCTGGGGCTGTGAGGTTGACTTCTGTCTTAACTTTCTCTCTGCCTCCATAGTAAGAGAACATTAGGGCCCAAGGAGGCTGGCGGGCCACGTGAGAGCCCGCACCCTTCTGCTGGCCCAGGTGGGCAAGAGGTCTGTGGTTCTTGTCTTGCAGTGGCTGGGGTTTCTGAGCCTGATCTATCTCAGTGAGGTCTGGGGGTGGGTGGAGAAGGAAAACCCTCTTTAGACCATGTTCTCTGGCATAGCTGTGCCTGCTTAGTTAAATAAAATCTTATTAATTTTCCATGTGAACAGTGAACTTATTTGTATGTTTTACCATCCACAAGCCTGGAGCAAAAGAGAGGAGAGAAATAGGATTTACTTACCCTGATCCTTTAACATGTATTTAAATGAATATAAATACTCCTAGGTAAATCTCTATCATTCGGGAGATTTATTTTAGGAAAGCCTAGGTAAGTTTTTTTGAATACCCAAAGGTACTAGACTATGCTTCTCATCTGAGTTGATGTCTGAGATTTGTATTAGCCTTTATAATAAAGTCACAGGGGTGAGTGGCTTAGTGTGGCAATCAAACAGAATAGATGGAGGAGGAAGACCAAGAGGACAGATGAGAAAAGATGCTAGGAGGTTGAGCCCAAGGGGCAATGCTGAGAAATCCCCTTTGGTGAGAAGTTTAGGGAACTTTAACATCTATAATTGTTAAATTATCACCCAAACATCACCTTCACCATCTATAATTGTTTTCTGATTTTTTGCTGAATAGTCATCTTGAGTATCTCTCAGCTCCAGAACTGTCTGCTATTTAAGAAAGTCTTTGTGGCATTTGGGGTAAAGGAGGTCCAGGGACTCTCAGCCAAGAGTGATGTTGGGACCTGAGGTAGTAGGGAGCACAGCCGTTGCCCTGAATGACCAAGGGTGGACATGGATGAAAAACCTACAAAACAGATTCTATCTTTTGATTGTAAGCCATTTAAAAACGTGCACTCCCTGAAGTATATGGGGCTGAGCTCATGAGGGCTCCTGAAACAGGTGGCCAGCTGTGTCTGGCCCAGGACCTCTGCCTTTGAAGAAACTCTACAGTCCCGTTTATTTTTTTAAAGTGCAAGCATCTTTCTTTGTCTTTAATCTGGCAAGCATGCATGAAGTATTGATTTCTTATTATAGCTAATTTTTCATTAACTCCCCAGAAGTTTATTAATGAGATCCTTCTAAGAGCATATGAATACATATGCTCTTCTAAGAGCATATGAATAAGAGAATATGAATACTGAGAAGTAACATAATCCCTTTGGTTGTCTGTGTTTATTCAGATTAGATACTGAATCTGAAACCGGTTTGGCTCAGTGGATAGAGCGTCGGCCTGAGGACTGAAGGTCTCAGGTTCCATTCCGGTCAAGGGCATGTATCTTGGTTGCGGGGACATTCCTAGTAGGGGGAGTGCAGGAGGCAGCTGATCGATGTTTCTCTCTCATCAATGTTTCTAACTCTCTATCCCTCTCTCTTCCTCTCTGTAAAAAATCAATAAAATATATTTTTTAAAAATTAGATACTGAACATCTCTGAGGTTATCTCCATCTATATAAAATTACCTTAATAACATGCAACAAACTAAACATTAAACCAGCCCAACCTCAGACAGGGGTGGGTTTAGCAGGCTGATGGTGAGAGAGATTCTGACAGAAGAATAAATGGGTATTTTTTTCATCTACACAAGATAGGTATTATTAACACTGGATGGCATTTACAACGTCAAACATAAAATCAAGAGTAATTTGTTCCCTGTTGCCTATGGTGCCATAGAAAACGGAAATGTAAATACCAATAATCAACTATAAAAGCAACTTAGCTTGACTGGATTTCAAAACGTGCAATTTAGTATCATAATGCATTTTAACAAAATTGCTGCGCTCTACGTGGTGGTGACTTGAGGAATGACCATCTCAAGAGGCAGAACCCTGTGAGCCCACGTGTAGACCAGAGCTTCGCTTTCCCAGCCTCAGCCCCTGTCCAGGCCAATGTGAAGAGTTAGGAAGGAAGGAGAGAGCACTGCTCTTTGCAAATCGTCTACAGAAAATTTTCTGAGATTACTTGGCAATGCTCAGCTTTATAATAATTGCAACTCTCAACATCTTAATTATATCCATTTTGTAGTTAAGTATTCTCTGGCACACAGGGTCATGACATTTGACCATTTTATTTTGCCAATGGCTGCACATTCTGGGAAAACACGTGTCTTTCTTCATGTGGCCTCTGCTGGTATTCAATTCAAAATATAGATTTAATCCGGGAAAGTTATACAGTTGTTGGAACTGCACGCAATGGCCAACATCCAATCTTTAAATAATAATTTCATATAATTCAACCTAATAGTGCGTACAAAATAAATTCTCAGTTTGCCTTGCAAAGTATGCTGCCTTTTGTAGTCAATATGTTTTCCCCCCAAGCTTGCCAAGTAGGTAGACTACATCATTTAAAAAATACTTACCAGAATTAGGTATATGCCTTTGACATCTCATATAATAACTATGCTTTCTGGAGGACTTATACTCATTAAATATATTGATAAGGATGAATAAGGAATTACTCCTAATTCCTTCAGTTTGCCTGTTTGACAAAATAAGCTTACAACCTCCATGGTATGTCTTTCATTCACAACATACTTAGAGAGGTTTGGTTTCCATCATCACCATCACAGAAGCAGGTGACAATGCTTGTAGGGAGAGAGGACACACACACACACACACACACACACACACACACACACACACTCCTTTCATGAGGGAGAGCTGTGGGGCTCCCAAGCATGCCCGCCCAGCCTTGGACAGGGCTCGGGGTGGGTCCTGAATACACACCTGTGCTCGTGCGGTAGGTGCTGGAGTGTGCTGGCGGCAGAGGGTCCCCCTGGCTCTGGCTGAGACTCCTCATAGGGGGCTTCTGATAGACACGGTCTTCATAGATGGGGTCTATGTGGTGCTCTGGGGACTGCAGGGCCCGCAGCTCCGGGCCCAGATGGCCGTGCTGGCTGCTATACGAGGCCCGGGACCCGGCTGGAATAAAATAACAGCAGGCATAAGACCCGACCAGTATTCAAGCAGAACTTGTTTCATCAAAGGCATATTTGATATTTTTTAACAAAAATGTTGAAATCTGCAGAATATCAAATGAATGACATGAAATGGCAGAAATACATCAAGTTAATCAGCTTATCGGCATCACCCAGCTGCCTAGCTTTGCTTCCCAACCTCATCGCCCTCTGAGGATAACGAATCTGAGATAAATCCACAAGGAACGAGGCCACTGAAACATCCATTTTCTCAGTCTACCGAATGTTGCTTGTCTTCTCTACTAACGGGATCAGGCAGACAGTCAAACCTAAAACCCTCTGATCATCCCACAGCCCAAGTTATTAAACTCATGATCCACTGAATAAGCCACGATGGCAAGCCATCTTTATGTTGTTTCTGAAAGTGAGCCCGAATCTGTTCCCATCAGCAATTTTTCCTTGGAGAATGAATGAACCAAAACGTTCAGACTCACAACAACCTAATTCTCTGAGAGGCAGATTTTTTAAAGAACGTTTTTAAGTTATATATTGCTCCATCCTTACCCTCTAAATTGAAGCTTAGTGCACCCTGCTCTGAAGAACATACAAATAGCTGGTTTAATTTATAAATCGAGGCTACACATCACTCGCCTTATAATAGTTATAAGTCACTGTGTTTCATTTCCTTGCGTTGTATAGGGAGAGGTGTGGCTCGGAAGCCATGCTGTGAACCTCTGCACATGGGGAAATAAAGTTTTATGAGGGCTAAGCGGTTGAGTTGACACAAGGTAACGAGGACTGATTGAGAGCCAGTATTTCGGTCAAGGTCCGGTCAGAATCACAGCGACAGTGTCAGGAGGATCATCTCCATGGAGGCAGATGAAGTAAAGGACATGGAAAAACAATGAAGGGCGTGGAGCTTCCAGGATAAATGGCTTCTCTAATGAGGTGAGCAGAAAGTACACAGGAGCCAAATGAGGCTGCAGCTGATGTTAGGAAAGAAAGACCCTTTACTAAGTCTCCAAAGCTAATGCCCACAGGGCACACTGAGGTTTAACTGTCAACTGCCTGTGAATAGCCCCAGCTCTGAGCTCCCCACTCAAACCTACAGCAACAGGGTGTTGCAATTCTTGATTTTGGAGGTGTTTGTGGGCAGCTTTACCTCTGTTCCTCTGGTCCAAACCCTTCACTGGGGTCCACCTTAAAACCTGCTTTCTGAGGATCCCGTAACCAAAATGATTTCAATATTCTTATCTAGTATACTTGAGAAAAAAGCCACTCAAATGTTTTTAAATTGCCAATAAATGTTTTCCTAATATATATTTTACATGGGGTGCTGTCAAAATAACAATCAAATAAACAAACAGGAAACAGGATTTCTGGATGACTGGTGCAGTGCTAGAACTTCTATGAATTTAGTGATAATTAAAATCACTGAGTGTTTTGAGGAAGGCAAGTTACTTACCTTTTTCTTTTCTAGTAATTATTTCAATCCTAATTCAGATCGCATACAGATGAATGATAGGTCCAAAATAACTGCTTTGCATAATTATGTTCATTGCATTTCATTGATCACATGCCAACATCACACTGAATATTATCTCATTTTGACATTTTCCAAAAATATATTTTAAGTATGATAATCTGTGTGTTCCTGCTGTCAACTCTTGCTACTACTTGGAAGTTTTAGAAATAGTGCCCAAAACTTTCAAGTCTAAAAGCAAGAAAACAGTCTTTGCAATTGACCACTGAACAACCCGTGGGTCAGAGGCACTAACCCTCACACAGTCAAAAATTCCTGTGTAACTTCTGACTTCCCCAAATTTACTTCTAACCTAATGCTGACTAGAAGCCTTACGAATAACATAGTTGATTGACACATATTTTGCATGTTTTCCTGTATCATATATTGTATTCTTACAATAAAATAAGCCAGAGAAGAAATATGAAGAAAATCAGAAAATACATTTATAGTATTGCCTTTATCAATACCATAAGTTTATGTTGTCTGTTTACAAGATGAAAAAAGCTGCATATAAGTGGACACATACATTTCAAATCTGTGTTGTTCAGAGGTTACTACACCTAAATGTTTTATAAATGAGTGTGTTATCCATCGCTAGTAGTTAGAAATGTAATTTTATCACTGTTCTTTATTCTAAGCCCCTGAAAACATCTAAGGGTGTGCAATGAAAGCACCTGCTGACCCTTTAAGTGGCCATATGATCTGAGAGCCTATGTGAAAATCCTCTTAGTAAAAACATTTATTGGGCATTAGGACATTTTTAATAGCATACAATGAATCAGAAATCAATGGCCAAGGGACACGGATCTTACAATAAAGTCTATCTTTGTGGATATCACTATAACTATATGCTGACAGTAAGAAAAAATTTAATAGAATTATTAAATATTTGAACAATATATTTTTTATTAGCATGTTCTTGATAAAACTATAAGTTCACAGTGTTTCCCTGTGGAAACATTTGTGCAAATCCATTTGCATACATAAGCATTATGCACAGCACTGAATGAGATAGGGCTTTATAAAAGGAGCCTTGTTTATACCCCTTTCTATCCATTGTGATCACGGGTGGGCACAGTTATTGGCAAGAGCAACAGAGAGACTTAGGAGAAAGAAGGGAGACAGGGAGTAAAAGGTGAAAGGTGCAAGTTCAGGAATTCATGTTTTCTACCATTCAGGCTCAAGTAAGGCCTATATGAACAAAACCTATTTTATTCCGGGTAATTCCAAGAAGAAAAAAAAAAAAATCTCACACAACCTCTTCTGGGAATATGCTGCAAAACGAGGTGGTGAAGATATTTGCTGATCCAAAGAAAATGTACTTTTCTTTAGCAGTAGTTTCTTTCACCATTATGGTCTGTTTGACAATAAGTCTTCAGCATTCTGGGCTCAGAATACCATCAGTAAGCATTTGTGTCTTTGACAGGAACTGAAAAGATGTTATCATAGCAAGGAAAAATGCTGGAGAAACTGACTTTATCCAAAATGTCACAGATGTCTAGGGCAATGAAGAACAATTCTGAGAGCCTCACCTTGACTGAGATGAGGGTTCAGAACTACAGCATGACAAGGTGCAATGAAACATGGTGGCCAGAGAGAAAAGGAAAGCAGACCCTACAGGCCAGACCCACTGCAGCAAAGGGTTCCCCACTATTGCAGGCAGAGGTCATGCAGATATAATACCTGTGTCTACAGAGCACTTTATGACCAATTTTCTCAACAAGGCTTACCTCATCCAGTGTCCACCTTGCCTTTTTTTTTTTTTTTTTTTCCACAGAGAGGAAGAGAGAGTGATAGAGGGTTAGAAACATCGATGAGAGAGAATCATCGATTAGCTGCCTCTTGCACACCCACCACTGGAGATGTGCCTGCAACCAAGGTACATGCCCTTGACCAGAATCGAACCCGGGACCTTCCAATCTGCAGGTCGACGCTCTATCCACTGAGCCAAACCGGTTTCGGCAATGTCCACCTTTCAATGCTGTCATATCATTTTACTTTTCCGATTTCTCTTCACAAGACAACATTTGAATTTAGAGAGCTAAGGCACTGGTAATTTTCATCTGTAATGTGAATCTGAAATTAATCGGTTTGAGGGCCCACATCTGGAACATGAATGGTCGGTTTGCAGGCTAAGAAAGGTTGTGACTCTGGAGGGTGCTCTGTGAGGGCCATACCTCCTGCATGTCCAGGAGCCCTGGAGGACAGGGGAGAACCTGCAAACTGATGTAGGACCAGGCCTGGGTCAGCTGTTGTACAAGAGCTACCTTTGGTCATAAAACTTCCATTGCCTGCTCACTCCTGGCCATTCTGCTGTGGCATTGGTGGTGGGAGGGGAGAGGGAAGGAGGGTTCAGTCCTGTGGCAATGAGGAAGGTTTAAGCTCCAGGGGCTCAGAGGGGTGGGAAGACTGGACCACTGGAGAGGACACTAGACCTCTGATATCCCCTGCTTCTGTGTAGGCATCTTCACACCAGGGGCTCAGAGGGGTGGGAAGACTGGACCACTGGAGAGGACACTAGACCTCTGATATCCCCTGCTTCTGTGTAGGCATCTTCACATTTACATGAGCAAGCCCCCATGGCTCCCCATCAAGTTCTGCAAATGAAAGGTGGCATTATGAGTGTGGATGTATCATGTTCAACAGTTTGAAGTAAAAATAAATTGCATCAAAAGTAGTAATTCTACTGCTATTTCTTTTGCCCAAATAACCTGAAACAAGAAGACATAATTTGGGCTCCAGATCTGTGTCTAATCAGTTGGGTGAATCAAGGGGAGTCACTGAGTCTCTCCGAGCCCAAGTTTCCTCCAGTGTAGAAATACAGACAGTAATGCATGCATTTGTATGGCATGAAATAGTGGGAGGATCAAGATGAGAGTGATCATGTCAGAAAATGGATACTTTTTTGAACAGCCTACAATGAGTATTCCCATGTCATTCAACCTCAGAGTCAAATTATATTATCTCATGAAAATATATCTTTTGATCGGGAGAAAAACTACTTTTCAGTCAAAATATCAAAAATGAAACAGATTTAACTTGGAAATATGTGACAAAAGTTTGATAATTTCGTAGAATATTACAAAATGTAAATCATATTTTTATGATCTTAAAGGAACAATATCAGGGTTGCTTGGTAATGGATAATTGCAGGAATGAATTAAGTCCAAAAGAGAAAGATATATTAAAATGACCAAGAAAAGGCAGAATCCTTTTAGAAAGGGGTATGGCATAAATTAAACCTGCACATTAAGGACAAACAAACATTTGCTAATCTAATAGGAAGCCAGCAACAGACTTGTAGGGAGCTGTTGACATGGAAAATAATTAAGCTGAAAAGACTGCAGTATCTCTCATTGCCTTGCTTGTTTCATCCTCAACACATTTTCATTGGCTCAGAGAATCCAACAGGCTCTGTTTGCATCTAACAAGCAACAGGCAACATTTATCATTTTTTAGATTGATTTGTAAATGAAAGT